AGATCTCGGGGGGAGAAAATTGGATGGGCAGCGTCCTGGACGGTCAGAGAACGTACAGGCAGCGCCCGTCTCAAAATAGTCCTGTCTACTCAAACGTCGCTCGCTTCTGTCTGCTCATCTCTGTCTCGGGCATGGCGCGTGTGGTGGGGGTTGTTGTTGTTGTTGTTGGTGGTGGTGGTGGTGGTGGTGGTGGTGGTGGTGGTGGTATCGATTTTCCTTTAGTATATTAAATGGGAACCTGGTGATATAATTGCCGGTTTGAGCTTTCCTGTTCGCCAAGTCTGGAGACTGTTTGGTTGTTTTAGGGAGGTTTAAAAAAATAATAATTTGCTTTTCTAATGTCACATCAAGATACACATTTTCAAAAATCACAGAAAAAGTCTTGTTGTTATACCGAGTCGAGTTAATTGTTTGCAGAGTCCTCCAGTCCTTCTGAGCGCAATTATCAACTCATTTAGTCACACCTGACAGGCTTATTTGATACAATTATCCCAAATACATATCATGGATACAACCTGGGAAAAAATCGGGACAAATTACATGTATGTCCGAACCCCACCCTCCCTACGTACCTGTATCCTGGCCTCAGGTAGGCTTGTGATCATGGCCAATCTCTCCCTCATGACCACGTCCGGGTAGTGTGTTTTAGCGAAGGTCTTCTCCAGGGCCGCCAGCTGCTGGTTGGTGAAGGCTGTACGGCTACGTCTCTGCTTCCTGTGGGCGCCGTAGCGCGCGTCAAACAGAAGGTCTGTGGGGGCGGGAACGGATGGGTCAGTTGATGACATACATGTATATAATATTATCATTGGTTTGTTTGGGGATTTTTGGGGGGGATTTTTTTTTTTGGTTTTAGTTGCAATAAGAAAAATTAAGACATGGACATGAGAATTCAGTTTAGTTTAGAAATTCTACCTGCTGAGAATGTTGTTTTAACCTTTCTTTCAAAAATAAAAATAAAAATAAAGGTATTGACAAAGACACGATCTCCGAACGGAGTGAGAGTACTATTATATAAGACCAAGTATCAACCATAATAAATGCGTCTACGAACATTTTGTGGTTGTTTTTTTCTATTCTTTTTTTTCTTTTGTTTTTGGTTGTTATTTTTTCTTTTGTTTGTTGAGGTTGAGGTCGATGCTGTATTATCATTTAATAGAACTCTTGTTCTGTTTAAAGATGAAAACGCTTGATTCGTGTACCGGTAGGTCTCTAGGACCTATGCCAACATGACTGTCTCAAAAATGTTTCAGTCTTTTATTGGAAGCTCTAGAACATTAAAGAAAAATATATTGTTATATTGCAGACTAACGTACTTTATAAACCTATAATCGAGTCATAGATAATGATAATAATAATAATAATAATAATAATAATAATAATGATAATAATAATAATAATAATAATAATAATAATAATAATAATAATAATAATAATAATAATAATAATGTTGCTACTTACCAGGGTACTGACTCAGAAAGAACGGTGACGTAAGCTGGAGTGGGTGTGACGGGGCGGGGAAGGGGAAGAAAGGTGGTGGGGTCTGGAACTGAAGACTGTAGGCGCCATAGCCTTGCATGATGACTGGTGACACTTCTGGTGATGATGGCAACCCGTTACAGTCACGTCTATCTTGGAAGGTTTGTTGGTGAGTACAAGTGTGCAGTATATTACCTTGCCTGAAAGGGAGAGAGCGCAGCGGTTAGTGTGTTGAAAAGTAAGGACAATAGTATTATATGGATGAAAATAATTCACGTCGTAGATATAATATTATCACATTATGTCGGTGTTGAGTAGGCCTACTTTTTATTTGGAAGACGGCTTTGTCTCCCCCCCTCTCTCTATGTATGTATATGTTTGTGTATGTGTGTATGTTTGAGTGTGCTTCTGAGTGTGTGTGTGTGTGTGTGTGTGTGTGTGTGTGTGTGTGTGTGTTTGTGTGTATGAGTGGGTTTCTGAGTGGAGTGTGTGTGTGAGTGTGTATGTGTGTGTGTGTGTGTGTGTGTGTGTGTGTGTGTGTGTGTGTGTGTGTGCTTCCGTGCGTGTGTGTGAGTGTGTTTGTGCGAGTGAGTGTGCGTACGAGCATGCGCACGTGCATGCAAACCTTTTCTAATTGTTAGGCTGTCTTTCTGTTTTCATTGCTGTTGTGCTTGCTGTTGTTTGTATCTCCGTTTAATTTGATTTGCCTCACAAAAACAGTGGATTTAAAAAAACATCTTTTTTTTATCGTTTTAATTTTGCTTTTCGATAGTTTTTATTTCACCTCACGTTTCCAAGTTCTTTTTAATTCACACCACCATACTTGTATACATGTCCCTGTAATGAGAAGTTGATTGACGGAATAAACCACTATGTTGAGGGTTCCTAGTTCGAATTCATACGGCCTATGATTTGCTTTGATATCCTGCGTGAGTTCTTTTTTTTTTCTCCTAGTTAAAGTGTTATTAATCTTTACTGCCGTGAAACCTTATGCATGGAGTCAGATGTGAATTGGATTGCTTCATAGTTTCGTTTTTTTTTAATCTTTAAAACTGGAAAGATTTTGTCACTATTAATTGTATAATCACTGCAATAATTTTGTTCTGCACCACAAAATGATAATTTTCATTTTCTTTTTCGGCTTTTGCGAGTTAGCGTTTAGAAAGATCGTTTCCTAAATCCTTTTTGGCTGAACAAAATCACTCGATTTATTTTATTAACCAAAGTACTTGATGTTCGTCAGATATAACAAAAAATAACTTGAAAAACACAGATTTTTCAATGCATTGTTCGGGTTCTGTAATTTCGGCATTACTGTTACATGATGAATACTGATTCATTCACACTAAAATCTTTTACCATTTCCAAAGAATATATAGAACACAGTTGTAAATGAACATATTATGTCCACAGGTCTACTACAATTAATGATAGATAGCATTTGTATAGCGCAAAACCCCGCTCAACAGCAAGCTCTATGCACTTCACAATCTATACTATTACTCCAGCAGACCTGAAAGTATTCTGAAATAATCTCAACTTCCCGGGAAGCGTACAGAGCAAGCAGCCATTTATTGACACTAAAATACTAACATTTACTGACAAGATCTTTCGCTGTCTATGGCCGGGTACCCATTCCCACCTGGGTGAAGTGAGGAAAATTCTGTAAAGTGTCTTTCCCAAGGACACAACATTGGGCCCGCGTTGGAACCCCCGAACCCGCAACTTCAGGATTACGAGTCCAGAAGCCTAACCACTAGGCTACCGACGCCTTCCGATTCACTGTACTATACGTTTTCCTTCTGCATTTGCATTGGCTTATATAAGGACTCTCAATGGCCATATGAAGGATAAAGTTTTAGAATCTAGTCCTGAAAAGTCCAAGTTATTTTTTGCTTTTAAAAATTTATTTTAATTAAATAAATGAAAA